CTGCCCTGTCCTATCCGGTCAGTCGCTAAGAGCCAGAATTGACTCGATGGCAGCGAATGAGAGTGATAGGCTGAGTGTTGATAATAGAAGCCACAGGTTTGGTTTTCATGCTGTGTGTGGGCCCAGGAGAAGCAGCTGGGGGAGAGGCCAGGGAAGGCTGTGGTTCTCACTAGGCACCTGCCTCTGCCTGATGGCTAACCACAGGCTCAACCCTTGGGCTTTGTCCCAGCCAGGCCTGGAAGTGGCGGCCGCAATTAGCTCTGGGGTCCAGCTCTCTTTACTCTTAGTGCTCTCTGCCCTGTGCTCCTGTCTCAGGTCTCTGCCCCCAGGTCCGTGGGAGGGAGTCACTACTCCTCACTCCCTTCCCACTCTTCCTCCTGCTGAAGTACGAGGCCCCTGTCTCTGGGTTCTCTCTGTCTTGCCTTCCAATTCGGCTTCCCTGATCCCAACCCAGGACCCCACCCTAGTCAAGCTCTCTTCAGATCTTCTTTGCAAGTCCCTTTGTGGGCAGGCTTTGGCTGCCTGTGGCTGTGTGTTTTCTCCTCCAGTGAATGCAGATAATAACCCTGCTTCAAAGGGGTGGATGAAAGAAAAGGGGATTAAGAGTCGCGATTGGCAGGTTGTAAGTACTAAATAAATATTACATGTTGTTTTTGGTGTATGTGCGTCCTCACAGCGCTACAAATGTTTTTCAGACCCGCCCCTGGCCATGTTTCAGTCCTCTCTCGCTGAACCTTCCCCAGCAAGCCCAGACCACCCACATCCTGTCCTGTATGAAAGCAAGTCCACTTCTGTATAGAAGAGGTGTCTCCGCTGCCTGCTTGGGGGCCCCAGGGACTGACCAAGTTCCTGGGGATTTCAAAATGTTTGAAGTGATTAATAGGAATGTACTGATGAAAACAACAACCCAAAGAAAAACAAAACCCCAGCGTTTTTTAGATGGGGGTGGAAGAGGCTAATGCAAAGCAGAAAACAGCTAATTCCATTTCTCCAACGATCAGGAGACTTAGAGGGAAGGAGGAGTAGTAATCCATTCTTCTTCTCTCTCCCTTCTTTCCTTCTTCATTCCTTTCATCTCCCACCCCACACTTCCTTCTTTTCCTCCCTCTTCTCTGCTTCCCTCCTTCCTTCTGTTTCCCATCCATCCATCCATCCA